GGAGACATGGTACCATAGGGAATGGCCCAAAAGTGTGGCCGCCTTTGGGATAGTAAGTATGACTGTATGGGGTCCCCATCCAGCGAGGTTCCAACCATTGAGGATGCAGTTCCCTAAGTAAGACTGTGTCACCGTGTGGAAGAGGGTCCGATTCAGTTCCTGGTTGCGCTGGGATTCAGGCAAAGGATGGCACAGGAAGGCACCAGTCTGCGAGTCCTCTTAGGAGTTTGTGTAGAAGTGTGAGATAGGACAGGTAGGACACAAGGGGAGAGGGAGTTAGAGGAAAGCTCTGTTGATTAAGAAAGGAGCCCATGGAGTAGCTCAAAGGGGCTAAGGTCTGAGGGAGCTCTAAGGGTTGCCCGAAATCAGTTGAGGGCCACCAGCAGGAGATTGGGCCTGAGTCCAGTAGCAAGTTTAGTGAGATGATCCTTGAGACTGCCATTAGCGCTCTCAACCTTAATGAGAATCGGGGTTGGTGAGGGATATGGAGCCTCCAGGTGATGTTGAGGCCTCTGGAGAGTAGCTGAACAACCCGAGAAGTGAAGGCCGGACCATTGTCTGACTGGATGCAGGTGGGAAGTCTGAACCTGCTCAATGAGGATGGAGGTGACAGTGTCAGCAGTTTCCCTGGAGGTAGGGAAGGCTTCTATCCATCTGTAAGAGAGTGCTGTCCCCCAGTCACAACCAGGTATATCCTGAGCCAAGGCTTTCCCAAGAGGTGGGGACTGTCCCTGAAGCCTTGGAGTAGGACTGTCCATGTCAGCTGTTGAGACCTAAAGGATGCAGGGTCTTCCCATGTGAAGGCAAAGAGGTAATAAGGGTCAGGATGGAGGGGCTCTGTAAAGAAGGCAGCTTTAAGATCCAGGACATTAGAGTGAGTGGTCGAAGGGAGAATATGAGAAGAGTGTGGGGGTTGGGAACCACCAAGTGGATGGGAATAACCACCTCATTAATTAGGCGAAGGTCCTGGAGTTAGTGATAGGCTCCTGAGTGTTTGTGCACTGGCAATATGGGGTGTTGCAGGGGGAGTCTGTAGGGATGAGGAGTCCCTGGGCAAGCAACCAGTCTATGATGGGTGTTAGTCCTTTCCTTGTTTTGGAGATGGGAAATTGGGCACACGAAGGAAATTTAGTTTGAGGTCAACTGGATACAAACTGGTTTGTGGTAGGAGGCTATGACTGGCTTGGAGATGTCCCAGACCTAGGGAT